AATGTGGTGGAGAGAGTGCATTGGGGCCAAAGCTTTGGCCAATTTGTTTGGCAAGTGCGGAATGCACATGGCGGATGAGGAAAGCATACGGAGCTGACACTACACATGCAGGCTGAGGAAAGCGGTGGCGAGCGGGTAGAAAGTCAAGCTTTCTGAAGTGTGGGAAAGTGTGAGCCTGGGTCTCTATAGTGACAGCAGGACACAAGATATGGGGGGCACTTTTATATGTATTTCTTAATAGAAGAGGGATACAAATAAAAGTAGAAGAAAGGAAAGAAGAAGAGTGAAAGAAATAGGTAATATTTTTGTTCTTTATTTCTTTCATGATGACGATTAAGGTTCTGGCAGTCTTACTGTCCTTTTTTGGATGGCTGCTGACAGTCTTACTTTCCTTTTTAGGATGGCTGTTATAAGCGGAGCTAACTCTGACGCTGTGGTGGCGGGAGCGCGCCTGGGCCAAAGCTTTGGCCGGTTTGTTTGGGGGCAAGCGGAATGCTCGCGGCGCTGATGCGGAAAGCACGCGGAGCTGACGCTACACAAGCAGGCTGAGGAAAGCGGTGGTGCGTTAGTGGAAAGTCTAGCTTTCCAAGGCGCGGGAAAGCGGGAAAAAGTAGACCGAATGCACAAGGTTCTGAAAAGCTTACTGCAGGGAATCCGGGCACCGGCGGACACCGGGGATCACGGCCGGCTGCGGACCGGGGGTTCAGCGTATACTGCGGAGGGGCTACAAGGAGCGGGGAGCACCGAGGGGCGGAAGCGGGGTTCGGAGCGGACCAGAGGCGGAAGCGGCGGTGGGAGACCTGCTTATGAGCGGCCGGAGGAGTACCTGGACCGACAGGCGTCGGAGGGGTGACATGCGGAGTCCGAGGGGGTGACAGCGGATGACATCGCGAGAAGCAGGAAGGGACTGGAGTGTGGGATACTTAGGAGGAGTGGAGTTCGAGGCAGAAGAGGGGGAGGGAGGAAAAACTTATGACTCGGAAAATATCAGAAAACAGAGTGACTTAGGAGTGAATCGTGTATTAGCCTAAAGAATTGTTAGAGATAGATTAGAGTTAGAGTATTACCTACCAAAGAACAATAAAAGAGAGCTATTTTACCTACCTACAAGACCATCAAGCAAGTTACCCCGGACAATAAACCGGAGTAAGACGTGTTGCGGAGCGGAGAAGTACAGGAAATCTCCTAGGGCGCGCCTTACTTTCCACAACGCCTCCAAATCAACAGAAACTGAAATGGGTTATTGACACTGAAGAATCAGGTCAACCACAATTTTTTAGATCAAGGATCAAGGCTCTTTAAAGGTAAACCTATGTAGTTTTCAGTTGTACTACCAAACAGGAAGAGTTGAGATAATAGCAGCTATGGCTTGCTTTCTTTGATCATGGCTTTGGTTTGGAGAAGAAGTGAAAGAGGTTGAGAGAGACAGAGAAAGAAACAAGCAGAAAGATGCTAGCTAAAACTTATGAGAAGTTACTTACTAATGACACCAATGACACTGTGTAGTGGGAAAGGTGGGAAAAGTGGAGTACTTCTGGTTGATAAGTGATGGCTTGATCTGGGTCTGGTTGTTGTGGTTCTGTGTTGGTCTGGAGTCTGAAGATCTTGCAAAAGTGAACTCAGTATCCTCTGAGAGAATTTTCAGAGTTGGATTACATAATCACAACATGTACATGTGGTAGAGAGAGTTGGAATTCCAACTTGGTTGATATTTGACAAGGTATGGTGAAATATCACAAAGTCAATGAAGGAGAATGTCAGCTTGCTACTATGGCAGAGACAACCTGTCATAGCAAAATAAAAATAATAATAAAATTACATAAAAAATATAAGAATAAAGTAAAAATATTACATAAGTAAAAGAAACTAATTTACTTATGTAAACAATATAAAAACACTTAAAATATATAAATAACTTAGAAAGAATAGAGAAAACTTTAATTATTATTACAAATTCTGAATCTACATACAATTTAACCTAGGGTACCTCAGCCAAAGGTACCCCTAATTGTAACCCCTTCATCCTGTAATACTCACTTAAAGAATTAACAGGTACCCATGGATCACGGGCACCTGAATAATTGTGCATTGTACATAACAATATGCATATACTCCAAATCTTGTCTCAGATTTGGAGTGTTGTTTATAGTTTGGAAGATAGACCAGCGTGGCGTGTACTATCTCCAAGCCCGCTCGCGACGTAGTCATGCTGCGCACTGTTGACAGGCGCGCCTGACTACAATTGAGCCCAAGGCTCAAGCCCCCGCGCGTGCTAGGTATGCCTACCCGCCTTGGATACATGCATAACCCCCTCTGGGTTACCAGTATCCAAGGAAATGGGCCACAAAGCCCCAGAAACTCACTGTGCACATGTCAACAAAGCCCCCACACGTGTAATAAAAATATAAACAAGCTAGAATATTCATTAAATTACTACAGTAACTCTGTATATTCCATCTTCCAGTTTGTAGTACGTGTAACAAGCCCCAGAAACTAGTTCTGGCATATTCTGTGGCCCATTTCCAAGGAAATAGCTCCACGTAACAGACTAGCCCCTACCCACAGGCTCCTAAGGGATATTCTTGGTTCAAATTAATTCGTGCATGACCCCTTGGAGCTTCTAGAATATTATCCCCAAGGTTTCAGCCCTTGTTGCGTCACCATGTGGGCTAAAATGGGCCCCAAAGCGCTCCCAAGACCTACTAAGCTCCCCTGAGCAACACCTGAGGCCTTCCACAGGTATTTAAAGGGCCTCCTGACCGCTCAAATAATGATCCCCCAGCTTTACAATACCTTATAGAAATTTACTTACCATTTACAAGTCCCCTACACTTGTAATTAGCCTAGTTACTACTATAATTGCTGTTATTAAAGCCTCAAAATTACCCAAGAAACCCAACAGTTATCACCCAGCACCCAAAATCAACCTTTCTGAGCGCTCTCAACTGTCCAGTTTCAGCTCTGAAGATCCTCAAGACCCCATAGGATTATTACTAGTAAGTAATAACCCTTTTCTTGAGATTTTCCCCTTACATTCTTCCTGGGATTTAAACCACCCCTGTTTACAGGCCCCAGTGTTCCAGGTACCTAAATCATCTGCTTTTGCACTATATCTTAGAGGGATTAAACCACCCCTGATTTATCAGGCCCCTCTGGTTTTATTTATATTAATCTTATTAATATAAATTGGCCACTTTTTCTTACAAATTACGCCATAAATCCTCTATTTCTTTGGAATTTATTCCTTTGAAATGAAAACCAAAAGTCCATAAGCTTTTTGCTTGTTTTTGCACCACGTGTAGCTAGAAGATATTCCATCTTGGCATCATGTAGGCTGACAGAGAAGAGTAGTGTGAAAGTGGCTAGTGGTGACTAGGGTTTAAATTAGGGCCTTAATAAAAAAGCCCGCATTTTCCGCGTTTTGAAGCGCTTTTGCTGCGGCACAGCACACGCGCAATCCGTGTTTAAACCCGCTTTTTTAATTAATTTATTTTTGCCATTAATTTTAATTTTTTTTAAGTTTTTAAAATTGTTTCCTAGGTGAAAAAATGCGTAGAATTTAATGGTGAAGTCCATTTTCCAATAAAATGACTTTTGATTATTAATTTTTTTTTCCACTTATTTTTCAATTAATTGTTTACATACATGTTTCTACCTCATTTTTTATACTTTTTTGAAATTTTGAATTTATTTCCTAGGTTTCAATGTGTGTATAATTTAATGGTGTAATCCAAATTTTTCAAAACTCAACGGTTCATTTTTAATACTGAAATTTGACATTTTTTTTCACTTAAATTTCTACAGGTTAATTTTCAATATTTTTTGACGTTTTAAAATTTTCTCCTGCACTTTGAGACATGTAAAAAATTATGGTAACAACCATTTTTCCCCAAAATGAAAACTATACCTTGAATTCTGCATTTGACACATTTCTTTTAATTAATCCTTCACATTTTCACTTAATTGTTTGCATACATGTGTGTACCTTATTTTCTATGCTTTTTTGAAATTTTAAAGTTTTTTTCCTACATTTAAAAGTGTATAGAATTTAATGGTAATATTCAATTTCCATAAAGCTCAACGGTTCATTCTGAATACTTTAATTACTCTTAAAATTCAATTGATTTTTAAGAGCTTAATTTTCATTTTTTTTTGACAATTTAAATTTATTTCCTACACTTTTGGACATGGATAAAATTATGGTAACAACCACATTGCATCAAAATGAAAAATATATCTTGAATATTGAATTTGACGTGTTTTTTTAATTAATTCTTACACACTTAGATATCCTTATTTTATGAAATTTTAAGTTCATTTCCTACATTTTGAAAGGTTTCAAAATTGATGGCTGTATCCATTTTGCATTCAAATACAATTTGTATACAGTACAAATTATGCAAGAAACGGGGTACACTCACGTATTATAATTGAAGCTTGTATTTTTATGGAAATTGGAATTCACCATTCAATTCTCTAGCTTAACAAAGCCTCAGCGAGCATTTGCTGGCGAGAGCCAGGCGCAAAGTGCATGCGAGGCTTATACGCAAAACGACGAAGCTCGCGCATGAGAATTTCAATTTGAAGTCATTTTACCCATTTTTCTGGATTCTAGATTTCAACTCTCCAAGAAAAGATGAGCTTTGCTCATGGATGAAGCGCTACCTTCATTCGCATCGACCTGTGCATTCACTTTTCTTGTGGTATTTTTTGTTACCACTCGATTTTTATTTTAGTTTGTGATTTCATAATATTTTTTGTTCTTTTTTTCGCGCATCGCTCTCTTCTCAATTAAAAAACAATTAATAATTGGACGGTTGGCATCACAGATCCAATAATCCAATAAATCAATCATATTGCTTGATATAACAGGGATTTCACTGAGCGAGTCAAGTGAAATCGACAGTGAGGCTAACTGATCAAGTCGGATAAAAGAAACAAGCCACCATTCTCCTAGAGACCTCGTCCGGAAACATTGAACATCGGTTGAAGACCCAAAGATGACTCGCAAGCAGAAAAAAAGCACCAAGGTTACTCTGACAAACGACTGGCTTGAGATGAATGATGAGCAGCTCCGAGAAGCAATCATTGAAGATGCCCGACCATGCTATCCTGAGACTCAACCATCAAAGCCGCTTCAAGTCGATGCCGTGATGGGTCTTGTGAAAAAGCGAAACACCTTTGTAATGGCCGGAACGGGTTTCCGAAAGTCAAGAATCTCCGAGATGCACTTACATCTGTTCCCTGCGGCCACAAAACCGGTTGTTCTTGTTTTGAATCCGCTAGACGCACTGGGAGATAATCAAGTCGAGGAGAAGATCACACAGAAGTATACAGCAATCAATCTGAAAAAACTTACATTCAATGCTAAGGTTGCGGCAAGAATCAAGAAAGGCGAATTCAATTTTGTCTATTTAAGTCCAGAGATATTCTTGAACAACCAGATGTTTGTGGAGCTCTTTCACGATTCCGAATTTCAGAATCATTTGGTTTCGATTGTAGTCGATGAAGCCCATATGATATATGGGTGGGGCATGGTTGCTAGTGGCAAAGCAAAAAAATCTTCGGCTCATAAACAACATGGAGACCGATCAATTTTTCGTCCATCGTACGGAGAAATATGTCGACAACTCATGGCTACCCAGGGGATACCGGTCCTTCTGCTTTCAGCAACTTGTCGGCCTCAGGCCCTTGAGGCCATTCAAAAAAACCTGAAGCTTACTGATGACAACATTGACATCGTAAGGGCTGAGCTTACACGCCCCGAGATTCGAATCCTACAGTTTCCAATGAGATTGTCGCTCAAGTCAGTAAAAGATCTTACGGAAATGTTTGGCAAAGAAGAAGATATTCCAAACAACGAAGTGGTCCCAACCTTAATCTACTCCAGCACTCAAAACGCCACACTCAAGGTGATGAAGGCAGTCAATCTTGCTCGGGGGACTCCTGGCGGCGAATACAATCCAAACAGCAAAGTCATCCGAAGGTATCACGCTTGTACGGGGGACTTGGAGAAGAAAGATGTAATTGATGGGTACGAGTCGGCTGATTTTTCGTGTATTTCGTGTACCATGGCGTTGGGGCTTGGCCAGAACTGGAAGAGGGTTCGTCGAGTGATCCAAATCGGTCGAGGTGATCCATCTTGCATCTGCCAAATGATTGGTCGATGTGGACGTGATGGGAGACCCGGGTTAGCAATTCTGTTTGTTGAACCAAAGAGGCGGTTTGGCTTGAATACGTTAGAAGCAATTTCAAAGGCCGACAAGACCACCGATGATGTACAAATGGATTCGCTTTCGATAACCCCTGTTTGCCTTAGAATTGCCTTTGCGGTTGACAACAAGTCAGTGACTGTTCTGCTGATAGAAAATCATGACTTGAACTCACTATGAATTTGGAGTTCTTTAGACATGGTCACATCCCCATGAATTATGATGACCCGAAATACCTAAAAGAAAAAGACCACGAGGAGACCAAGGGTTTTCCAATTTGTAAATGTTCGAACTGCTTTCCTGAAGAGGCCAATTTACTGCGAGCCAACATGCTGGGCATCAAAGTGACCAACTTTGAGGAAGCATTGGATGATCCTAAAAAACTGACTGGAGGGCAGCTTACTGCCGAGATTTCTCCCCTCAAGAAGAAGAAGGTAGATCAACCCACCAAGTCCAAGGAGTTCCTCCTCATTTTGGACCATCTAGCGGTTATTCTAGTCAAGCGTTTCGACGAATTTTTTTACGAAGTGTACGGGAAAGCCAGGAGTTTTTCGCCTCACACACTATTCAGTTTGGTAGAAGCTAATGTCATTGCTCAAAGATTTGAAGACATCAAAAGTACGATGGATATTGAAGAGCTGATTGGAGGAGAAGTGATGGACGGACAACTAGATGTGCTACATGAGTGTCTCTCAAAATTTAAAGAACAGGACATCGAATATAAAACCTATGTCAGAAAGCAAAATGAGTACCAAGAAACACTCCAGAATGAAATGGATTGAATCACTGCATTGAAAAAAACCCGGCCAGCAAAACAAGTACAACAACGTCGCCCGGCTGACATTGTCCGATCAGCCTCCAAACTTGAGGAAGCTGCAGCCGAGGCCGCAAGGGAAGAGGATGCGAAGAGGAAATTTGAAGAGGAGAAGAAGAGGAAAGTGGCAGAAGGGAGAAGACAACAAGAGGAAAAACGACTGGCAGCAGCGGCTGCAGACAAGGACGCAGCAGAGGCAAAGAGAAAGAAAGCTGAAAATCAAAGGAGGGAACGCAAAGAAAGACGGGTGGAAGTAGCAGCGGCAGCGGAAGAGAAAAAGAAAAACGAGGCCGAGCAGAAAAGGAAAAATGTGGGGGGGATATTGATGCCTCACGCAAGAGGCGATGTCCCAATGACAGATAGAATCGTTTCTTCACTTGGATCCGTTATCCGAGTCTTCCTGATCAGTGAGTGGTAGTCCATCTTGATCTTCGGAACTATCAGGCTCATCATCGCCTTCGGAACTGACATCGGAGTCCTTGTTTTGGTTTTCTAGATGCAGATCCTTGATGGTGTTGGTCCAAGTGATGATTTCAGTTGGTCGCAGTTTATTTATTGCTCTTCCTTTCTTCAACCACATTTTTTTTAGTTTATTGATCCCTACATCAAAAAAGTTATCAATTTCGGTTGGTTTGTACTCGCCTAGCTTGGCTATCTTGTTACAGATGTCATTTTGGTAACACATTCGCAAGCAGTGGTTCATCGACTGTAAGTTGATCTTGTAGTGGTGTGATTGGTAGATGTCGTTTTTTCCGGTGTCAGCTGTCAGTCCGTGTATTAAACTTTGAAGCTAGACAAGACAAACCAAGCATACAAAGCAATAATTGATAATTCAATCAGTTCTTGCTGAAGTCAATGCAAAATGCAAAACAGCTAATTTAACAATGGAACATTGAGCGAGTAAACATCCTTGAGCCTTTTGATATCAGTGCCTTGACCTGAGTGGTTGAAGAAGTATTTCAACCAAAAGTTTTGGTTTTTGAGGTGCTGATCCTTTGCGACAAAGTGTTTCTGTCTGCCACTTGGGGCTATTAAGAGCGAGTGTGAAATTACTTTTCTCAAGCCTTTTGGCAATATTTCATTTAGCAAAATGATCATTCGTGGTAGCTGGATCAAGTAGTTGGTCAGTTTTTTGACCCCCTGCGATATGATTGCCCATCGCTTCCATACGTTCATTAGACGCCCAATGTCGCCAGCTTTCATGGCTGAGTTTCCCTCAACAATTGTTGCAAAATCACTAAGTCTTCGCATTAGGTTTGCAAGCTTTGGAGATGATCGTCCGCTGGCAGCATCTTGAGCCATTGGAGAGAAGAATTCTTTGTATGTTTCTTGGATCAGGTTGTGAACCTCCTGACTTGAAATCAGAGGAAGGTCCTCGGGCACTGGATCCTTGTCAGTTCCCATTACAGTCCTATGCAATAATTGAATCAATTAGAATGAAATTTCACAGGACAAGAAAACAGTTACAAATGTTGAAGCTTACTTGATGCAATGAACTAAAGTTGCAGTGTGAATCTTCTGTATGTTCTGAATCATTGCAGTATAGTCTTTTTTGTCGAGCATTTTGTTGGCCGGAATCCCAAGTCCATTTAGAAAACGCCAGGCACCCGAATCTCGTGAATCAGAATCGTTCCCATAGTGCTTTGAGTAGATTGCTTGTGATATATTCCACAAGGTGTGTGATCCGCCCAAGATCGTGCAAACATTTATTAAGCTTTCCTCAACATGTTTATCGGGTACACGCTGTGATCGTAAACTGTGTACATTTGTACAGGTCCCTAAGTCACCATCGATAACCTGTAGACGTGAAGAGAAATCCTTTACATTCATGTTGGTTTGTTCGAGAAGGGAATCAAAGACCTCGCCAACACCTTGAGCTGAATTGTCTGACGCAACCATTAGTTTCAGCATTGTTATGTCGGGTTGTGTGGATGAGATTTGGTCCACAACTGGTGAGGTTGTTGGAATCAAGAGCTTCGTATCTGAGGGAGTAGCCACATATTTGAGTAAGACATCAGCAATTTGAGCTTTGATGACAAGTTCCCAGTTGCATTCTTCTGTTGCCGATGGCATAAACATCTTAGGTCAAACATTAAAATTGGCTAATCTAGCCATAGCCTTGTGGTAGCTTTCTACAGTAAGATCATCTGCAGATACTGATTCAATGAGCTTGGGGTCGGGGCGATGGACATATCCCCAGGTGCCATGGAACATCTGACTATTATGGCCAAGGGATTTTGTATGTATCTTCTGTTCAAAGTCAAGATTGTCGATACATAGAAAGGGTGCCAGGTTACCAATGAGCGATTCCGACGTCTTTATCGCCACTAGATCTTTTGCTTCAAGGCCCAGACGTTTCAGGGCTTGGTGAGCAGTCTTGCGCGAGGAAGCGAGGCCAATGTAATTTAAAAACTGATTGACTTGATCGGATACTCCGCATGCAAGGAATGTAAGTGAGTTGGCAAGTTGGTGGCCGTTGTTGCGTCTGTTGTAAACAAAAGCAACCATGGAACAGACTGTTTTTGCGGTCTTCATTTTGACATGAATCAATGTTAAAATGTGTAGTTAAAATGATCAAGAGGAGAGGGAAAAACACACCGTGTATACTCGACCAGGAAAATCACAGGTTGTTTGGCACTCTTCACGGATCTGTGGATCTTGATCATCGAACATCTCCTCAGGGACTACATCATCGTCTGAATCAGGATCATTGTCGTCAATGTCTGTAGCTTGCTTCTTTCCCTTTTTTTCGTCCTTGTTTGTTGCTGCTTTCTTGTTGGCGGGTCGTGCATTCAACTTATTTGAGATCAGTTGAAATAAGAATGGCATGTGATTTTTGACAAGATCGGCATTGCGTTCGTCTTTACATTCCTGATTGAAAAGCGAGCTGGAGACCATCCTACTGCTGTGGTAGGCTCCATTTGGGTACGCTCCGCTGGGTGGTTTCTGCGAGATAGTAATCCTGCTTGCCTGAAGAGGAGATAGACGATTCAGGAAACAGAAAAATAGAAAAAAAATAAGCAACGACATACCTCTGACAATATAAAATCTTCCCAGAGCTTCTTCCCGGCGCTTTTTTTTGAAATGACCTTCCGAATTGTATGTATAAGCTCCTGTGTTGTATCCCAGCCTCTGTCTGCTGCCCAGTAACGTCGATGTCCGGCAAATTCAATATCCTCATTCTCCAAGAAGGCTTTCAGGAAGCTTTTTGGGGTGTAGTTGTATTGGTCAAGCAATTTGAATATTTCTGTGAGTTTCGTCTTCTCCAAAGTTGACAGGTTTCTTTTCTTTCTTGGTTTTTTTGTGTTTTGAGAGGGTCCAGACTGATTGGGTGAGTGGATTTGATGAGGGGAATCAGGATCCGGATTGACTTCCATTGATGATGGCAAAGTGGTGTTGCAGTAAGTTGTTGTTGAATGTATGCGGCTGACAATTGAGGAAAGGCGGGGAAGGAGAGAGATGGATTTGAGAGAGAGAGACGTTGGCTAAAATGAAGGCTTTTTTCCAATAGATTAAATTCTATGGGTTTTACGGTCATATGACGCTGGGTGAGTGATATGGAATTTCAGGAGAATTCAAAATCCAAATTTTGAAACCAAGTAAAAAGCATGATTGGAGAGGAATAAAAGTCAGGTGAGTAGGTGGATCCAAAGCCAAGAGACACAAGATTACTTGGCTATAAACATACTGTGTTTGCTCCGGCAGAAGTCTTTCTTCTGGAGCATGGAAGTTGGTTTACACCAAAACTTCGAAATTCTCATGTGGGAGGCACCGCTGATTGGCCATAAGTCCCTCTCCCTTCGGTCGAGGGCTGGTGCTCTGCACACCTCGACAAGGTTTCCTTGCTTGCCTCAAGGGATGAGGTACTTAGTTAAGTTAGTTCAATTCTACACATCTTTAAATGTAGGAAATGAATTTAAAATTTTGAAAAATGATTAAAATCCAGCCGGTAAAAACCAATCCAAAAAACATTAAAAAAACATGTCCAACACAGTATTCAATAGCAGTCTTTGGTTTTTATGCAAAATGATTATTACCATCATTTTACTCATGTCTTAAAGTGTGGGAAATAAATTTAAAATGTCAAAAAATAATTAAAACTAAGCTGTAGAAATTTAAGTGAAAAAAATGTCAAATTTCAGTATTAAAAATGAACCGTTGAGTTTTAAAGAATTTGGCTTACACCATCAAATTCTACACGTATTGAAACCTAGGAAATAAATTTAAAATTTCAAAAAAGCATAAAAAAATAAGGTACAAACATGTAAGCACACAATTAATAGAAAAAATGAGTGGAAAAAAAAATTAATAATTAAAACTCATTTTTATGGAAAATGGACTTCACCATTAAATTCTACGCATTTTTTAACCTAGGAAACAATTTTAAAAACTTGAAAAAAATTAAAATTAATGGCAAAAATAAATTAATTAAAAAAGCGGGTTTAAACACGGATTGCGCGTGTGCTGTGCCGCAGCAAAAGCGCGTCAAAACGCGGAAAATGCGGGGTTTTTTATTAAGGCCCTTAAATTACATGAGGAATTCATTTCTGAAGTCATAATTTAATAAAATCTTAAGATGAAAAGTTACAGTATTAACATAGATGAAAAGGGGAGAATTAAGCAGTCTTTTGGTCAGCTTGGCTGGCTCTAAGGCTGACAGAAAGCGGGGTTGAATGTGCAAGGTTCTAAAAGCTTACTGTTGAAATTTTGCTCATCGATCTCTTCCCCTTTTTTTTGCTTCTTCTTTTTTTTACATGTCACTCACTTGTCTCCGGTGTCATTCTTTATTTCTTGTTGAATATGCATCAATCTCTGCTCCCACATATTGTGCATTTTGTATCTAGACTATTTAACAACCCTAGATACAAAGAAATAAAAAAGAAAAACTATTGGTTCTTTATTATTTTTTGACCGTTCCTGAAAGGAGCACATTAGCCCTTCCTTCAGCCTGTCTGCGAGCACTTGAGCCCTCTCAGCAAAAATCATAAAGGATATTATTTTCTTGGCCTTTCCGCCTAAAATTCAACACTTACTGCGGGGAATCCGGGCGCTGGTGGTGTAGTGTGCCAATTGTGTTTCAAGTATCTAATTGCATAAAGTCACAGTCCACTATTGAGAAGGGGATATATTCTTAGGAGTATTATGGCATAATCAGATTCTACAGGTCATTTAACCCATAGTCATTCACTGAAATCACTAGGCTAGCTCCACTCAGTCAAATGTATTTGGAATTTAAATTTTATTTGCATACAAAATGCTTATTGCATAATTTCAACCACAATTTGACCTTAATTTGTTTACATATTCAATATTCATTGCATAGTGTAACCACATGTTGGCCGCATTGTTTGTATGTACACTGAGAATTTATATAGCGGGAAACCACAATTTGACCAGATTTTTAGATGCATATTCATCATTTTTTAGGGCTAGAACCACAAGCTGGTCATTACATATTTACATGTTAGGGCTAGAACCACAAGTTGGCCATTTAGAGATTATTGATTAGGGCTAGAACCACAAGTCAGCCGGGTGGTAAGCCAATCTTGAATAAGAGGCCCACAGAATCAAAGCTTCAAGCACATAATCAAGCTCTTTGGAAGACAAGACCCTCAAGTACCAAGGCAAGCCCCTTCTGGAATATTCAGCCAACCTGCAACACCATGGATGTCACAAGACAAAGCCCCCTGGACAGAAGACACTCTGGATTCTCATTTCATTTCATTATTACATAATCATCTCATGCAGTCTTACATCATCAATACCCATTCAGCCTTCCACACTTGGCCTCTGCATATGTTTCACTCTAGTCTCATTTCCACTTTGGGCCACAATCTATTGTTTCACACTATTCCTCTTGGGTTATTTTCATGTCTCACACTAGTACACATTTGGCTAGTTCATTCATCTCTTTGGTATATTCTTCCTCCCTCATTGTTTGTGGCAAATTTCATCCCTGCATGTCTCTGATGTCATTTCCTCCATTCATCTTGGTGCCTACCAATTGGGCCACATGTTTCAGTTTGATAATTTTCTCTTGTTACATTTTGTTCCATGGTGATTCCAACCACAAGCTGGCCACTCCCCAGATTTTGTATATAAGGAGCCTAGTTTTCCCCTCTTCATTTGTTCCCCATCAGATCCTGCCCCAGCAATCCAGATAACTGATCACCCTTCATTAGCCTAGTAGTTGGCCATCAACATTTGGGATACTAGTATTATTCAGACAGAAGACATACCCATCTCAAGAATACTCCAAAGCCACACCTTTCCTTAAGAGTCCATACTCTTATCTTTTTCTCATTATCTTACTCAACCCAGTTACCAGAGAGGTAGCCCATTAAAGCAACTCTCCCTCTCCAGCTCTATTCATCCCAAAGAGTAGTTCCACACCGGGTTGTAAAATAGGTTATTTAATGAGGGCTTTTCCCCCTCATTCCAATTTTTTATCATCTCATCTCATCATCTCATCTGATCAGCAACCAGACAGAACAGAGCAATCAATCCACACAACTTAACCAGTGTGATCTCAATCAAGTGCCCCATTGAGATCATTCAGACTTTGAGAAGCATAGAAAAAGGAAATTAAACAACCAGTACAAAGAAAAACAAGAGAGAATTAGGAGTAGTCCTGTATTAGCCTAAGAATTGTTAGATATAGTGAAAAGTTAAAGTTTTAAAAAGAATCAAGAAAAGAGTTCATAGCTATTTAACTACCAAATCAATCATCAAGCAAGTTACCCCGGACAACCAATCAGAGTCAAGTAGCATTGCAGAGCGGAGAAGGTCAATAATTCTCTAGGGTATGCCTTACTTTCCACAATGATTGAACAATCTTTTTGTCCCTTGATATAAACTTCTTCTTCTTCTGTACCACAAGATCTTCAAGTATTTGAAAGTTTACTCTCCATAGAAGTGCAAATAAGCTACCAAAAAACAAGTACAGAAAACCCAGACTTGTGTATGATTTGACGATTTTTGGCTTGATAATGATCATTAAGGTTTCCTGATTCTAATTTCAGATATCAAGAGTTGGTGACACGTTTGTTGCAGAGATCTCAAAGTACACTACGGGTGCAGGGGTTCAAAACATTTCCGAAGTTCGTTCGGAAATGTTTCGAAATATGCGCCTGCAGGGGCGGACGTCCTGGACCTTGGTCCAGGTACATTTCGCAATGGGATGCGAAAGCGATTCCGAAGGTCCTCCGAAGACCTTCCGATAGCTTTTCGAAATCATTTCGAAGTACTTACGAGACTCCCGTGGTTTCGAAATCGACTCCGAAGGGCTACTTCGGAATGATTCCGAAAGCCCCGTTGTTTCGAAGTCAACTCCGATTGGTAGCTTCGGAGTGATTCCGAAAGACTTTCAAAAGACTTCCGTATTAATCGCGAAGTTTCGAAAGTCTTTCGGAATGTTGTCTGTGATGCCTGGGGTGGCAATTGGTCTGGTCCTGCCACCCTTTTGATTGGTGCTCACATTTTTCTTTCTTCCCCAACAATTGGGATCGGATCTTTTTTGCTCAGTGTATATATAGTGCGTGTATTGCTTTGAAAGCGAGACTTAAAAAAACAACATGTAATGTATCGTTTTGATCAGATCAATCAACCAAAAGAATTGAAAGAAAAAAAAAATAAAGGGAAAGTTCGACCGAAAGAATTGAAAGAAATAAAAGTCATAGAAAAAGTGAAACTGTACAAATATAGGGAGTCAAGCGGCACGTGGAGAGTAGTTTGCTTATCATGAGTTGAGAGAGAAAAGACGAGGCTAATGCAATATGATTGGACGGAAAGGGTTCGTTCATTCTGGCCAATCATCCCTTTCCGTCCGGACCGAAAGGGTTCGTTCATTCTGGGGCCTGCAGCGTTACCTGTGGTGCAGCAGGGTTGGCAGTCAGCGAATTGATCTTTGCAATCACCTGCTGGTCCGATGGGGGTCGCTGGTCAGCTTCAGGCACATCATCGACCGTTTTCGAGTCGTCCCAGAGTCGTTGATCGATGTCGAAGACGAGTTGGTTATAAGCTATTCCGTAGGCCGGGGATTTTTGTCTCAATCGTTTGAGATCTTCATCTATATCGTCCCAAAAGGAAACTGTTTTCCCTTTTAGCTTGTCGGCGAGATTGAGTCGGTGAAGGTTCACCATGAACCGCAAGTACGAGATACGAATCTTGGCCCCTTTGGTGATTCAATTATCTGCGTGTATCTTCGCAGGGGTAGCCCGCTTATAGGACGGATGCATTGCGGAGTACACATCAGCAATGAGGGTGTAGAGACTCAGAACTGCTGTTGGTTTGGTGTCGGAACCAACTCCGACCTTGAGCAGTCGTGCGTAGTAGGTTCTTTCAGCCTTGACCTGGTCGGCGATGAACTTTTCGAGTTCGTCGCTGGGGCCCGTGAGATTGTGTGGGAGCTGATTGATCTTGCGGAACTGAGGGGTTTCGTGATTGATCATTTCCTATGAATTGATCTCTGTTTGGTGAGCATAAGGAGATGGAAGGATGGGGGATCAAAATGACATACCATCATGCGACCAACAGGCGTCTTGGAGGGTTTCAATCGTTGAGAGCTCCTGTACCCATAGCATTCAATGTCTTCCTCTAGTAAGACGACACGGATGTTCTGTCGTAAGTAGGCTCGGAAGCCCTTGTTCGATTTGTAACCCTCGTGGCTTGCTTCGACCTCGTCCTGGTGGTCATCTTGATTCGGTCCGGCATTGGAGGATGCAGTTGATGCAGTTGGTTGGGGAGTTAGGTTATTTTGTAGAGCAAGTAGCAAGATTGCCGTGGTTCTTGCTTCTTGACTCATCTGTTGTATAAAGTAAGAAACATGTCAAGGGAAAGTGTGGTTGGAATTGGGCTCAATGAGTCATTGAGCCGGTTCTTACCTGGAGGAGGGGCTGCGCGCGTTGGAGAAGATCATTGGTGATGTGGAATGTGCTCTGAATGGCCTGGAGGGTGCTCTGGATAGTATTGAGGCTCTCTGGGGGAGTGATGCTGGAACGACCGGTGGATGTAGAGGTTGAAGATCGGTGTGGTGAGACCAATCAAGGTCATATATAGTACAAAATAGCTATTTACAGTAGTTTTCATGTTATTACAACCAGATCTGCATATGCTACATAACCCTTTATCTTGTATCCAGTTCAGAAGGTTACAAAATAGTATTTTTTACACATAGTTTGGTTACATAATATATAGTACTACATAGCTACAACATACTACATATCACACATCTCAAGATACAAATTAGTCTTCCCTCAGTACCTTCTTTCTATGATAATAGTATTTCAGTAAACATTAGTTATTTCATCTCAGATACCACTTAGTCAGACTACATATAATATTTCATCCCATACAGCTGATTTCTCATCCAGATATTGTCATCTCATCTCACTCATCATCCACTTCTTTTCATACATCAATTACTTCATTCTACATTTATTTTATTCTACATTTATTTCATACTACAAGTATTTCATTCTTACGTTCCATTTCAAACTCAATACACATGGCTTATATCACCTACATTCTCATCATACATCTCATTTCAACTCATTACTCATTGCTTATATCACCTACATATATATTTCACCACACAGATTTCTCATCTCACCTCAGAATATTTATTTCAGTCTTTGATTATCTCATTTCTTTTTGCACTACATATTAGTTTTATCATAAACAGAAGTTACTTCAGATTTTCTCCTTTTCAACATGTTTATTTCACACTACACATTTGTCAGCCACAATTATTTCATAACCAATTGTCTTTCAGATACAACTTATTTCATACCATCTTCTTACATCAGCTGATATCTTACCACTAGTACCTGATCAGAACCACCCACATGTATATAGAGAATACTCTTTCCCACTTACTTTGTTCCCCATGCTTGCATGAGAGAAGTAAACAGATAATTACTTAGCAGACATCATTTACTAGTAGTTACCAGAAGTAATTATTATTGATTTTCCCCCCAGAAGATAAGAAATTGAACCCAGAAACCATTACCCCCAGAGCCTCATCCTTACCAGAATCTCCCACATCCTCAATCTCTCAGCAGGTGACTTGTACAAGACATCAGTAATAAATCTCATACTAAGATTACCCACAGAAATAGCCACACCTTTTCTTTAATTCTTAGTGTAACTCTCTCCCAAGCCTTGACAAGAGGGCAGCTTCATCAGCATCCAAGTCTTCAACTCACATTTATCCCTGTGTGGTTGTTCTTTTCCCCTCTAAGCTCTTTTCTTTAGCTTGAAAAGTTCCACAAGTGGTGTCCCAACAGTGGCTTTATTCTCCTTCAAACCTTCAGTCTTAGACCCCTTATTACTTCAGTCTTACTGTTTCATCTGTTCCACAAAACCCCTACCTATAATATTAACCAGAGAATTTTATTAGTATACTTTTACTTCAGTTACAACAGATCATTATTTATATCCCTCTGAGAAAATTTTAAATTCTTACCCTGATATTTTCCACATCAATCTTGCCTCATACCATTTTTTACAGATACCAGCATTTTTTTTAGAAAATCTATTAGTTATTTTTCCTTAGCATACATAGTAGAAATGTCTTACAGAAATCAGCCAGTTCCTTTAAACCTCTATCCTTCAAAGCATGGACAACACAGAAGCCAGTCAGTTCAATCTTCCAGTAGTTCAGCCCTCCATCCCTCAGATCATCAACAAATTCGACATACCCCAGCATCTCAGAAGTCATACAATTCTCCTCTACCCCATTTCTTGGAAAAAGAAACCAGATTGCCGAAGTATACTGGACCAGAGACTGGTGCAAGGATGGTCAAAATCAAACCTATGGATAAAGATTTTTTCTTTGATGGGACAAATGTTGCAATTGAAAAGTTTATCAAACGGTACGAATGCGCTGGAGAGGCTGACGGAGCTAGCGCAAGGGACTTAGCAAAACAGATCATTTTTTTTGTCAAAGACGCCGATTTGAAGGACGAAGTAGAAGAAATGACTGGTTATGAAGATGTGGACTGGGAGGAATTGAAGAAACAGTTGCTTGATCGATTTGGAAAGGCGCTACCACTAGTCAAGTACACAAAGCAAGATCTAGAAAGTTTGGTCAGCTCCGCCGTCAGTAAAGGAGGAATTCGGACTCTCAGTGAATTTCAAGTATTCAAGACTAGATTTGAAGCAGTCACTCACTATCTAGTTAGGATGGGTTATAATACTAGCATTGAAGAATTCCGTGAACTCTTGCTTGAAGCTCTCAGTCGCCAATTAGGATCAGCTGTAATTAAAGAACTTATTAGAGATGATAAGATGATTCGATCTAGAGATGGAGGAGACATCTTACCTCCCACTGTTACTCTCATTTCCTACATTCAAAGAGAAGTTCAATCAGACAGTGTAATGGAACGACAAAATCTTTGGAGTCCAGAAAAGAATCAAGAAAAATTACCAGCATCTCAGACCAAACCGGCACCAAGAATTACCACTCCTAGTACTCCTGTCCAAAATTTGTATGATGAACAACTTCAAGATCTTACCAAACAACTAGCGGCTCTTACCTCTGGAAAAATGGCTCCTCCTCACAAGCCCTTGGATTCAGTTGCTCAACAGACCAACCCCCCAACTTCAGCCCCCAACAGAAACCCAAATTTCAGATGTTATTATTGCTTCCAACCCAACCACAGTTCCAACAGATGTAATTTATTTTCTTTTGATGAATCCAATGGCTTAGTCAAGAAAGAAGGCAGAAGTTATCTTTTACCAAATGACACACCAATTGCCTGGGATACTAGTAGACCTATAAAAGAAGTAGTTGATCAGTTTTCAGAAAACTCCAAGAAGACTGCTATGACAGAAATAGAATTCTACTCCTCTTTTGGGCAACTTGAAGAAATTTACGTACCATCATTAAGCTCTTATGAAGGAGACAACAACCTAGAAACTGAAGAATTGGACGACTCCTCTGTAGCTCTTAGCTTCAATCCACCCTCAGAACCAGAAGTTATCTTTACTCAACAGATCAACAAATTCCCTGGAGAAATAACTGAAGAAACAGAGTCTCAAGACTTTCATTCTGAAGATCAACCAGCTAGCAAGACCGCTTTTGATGGAATTTCAACCACAGAATTTACTGAATTGGAAGAAAAGATAACTCAGAGAATGATGGAGGACTTCAATGTAGCTTTGAGCTATGAAGACAAAATTTCTGATGGACTTGAGGATTTTTCTCAGAAGGAAGAATACAACACCAGTACCTTTATAGAAGATAACAATTCAACATTCTCACCTGTCAACACAGTGGCCAGAAATTTTTTTCACACGGAGGGCTCAGATATCTCAGTCTCTTCTTTTTCTGCCCAGCTGATGGGGACATCAGCCAAGTTGGAGGAGGAGTCTGTCATTTTCCAGCCTGAAAATCCTTTTGGAAATGACATATCAGCAGAAAATCTAACCAGTTTCTACATATCACCTTTTGCAAATGAAAGTCTACAGAACGACAACAAACAGAAACCAGAAGACTATCCAGCCAGATTAAACCCATACGACCTAGATAAAGTTGATAGACAGAACAGAGAAGATCAAGACAGCGACTTTCATCCAGCAGAATTACATTTTCATTTCGCATTATCATCAGAACCTCCTTGTGTTTTGTATGTACTCCCTGTCGCCGATGACAGTGCAGAAGAAAGTGCAATGAAGCATTACAATATAGATGCATATTGTAGACACAATCAAGAAGATCAAATGCGACCAGAAGGATACCAGTGCAATCAGCAAAATGGCAAGCCAGGGTTGATTGAATTAAAGAAGGATTTTGAATTGCTTGAAGGTGTTAACAGGTACAATGAACAGATATTGGTCAAAATATTAAATGCTACAGCTACTTTATACCTTTTGTTCATCCTGAATCTCTTAATAAACGGGGCCAATGCCGATCTATTGTCCTTAATCAAATTTTATTTCATTATGAATGGTTTTTCAAGTCACCGAGTAGTAGCAGCAATGGTCTATAAGTTTCAGATAGCCAGCTTATGGATGAAATCTTTTGTTGATGACTGTGAAAGAAGTTCTAGTCATAATTCAATTCAATTCAAGGAAATCAACAAACGAGCTCCAAGGAAGATTGATCGGCGAAGCGGTCCGATATTGCTGGTTCATCCGATTTTGATTTGTTCTGTCATCTTAATCATTTTTTTTCTCCTTTTGACGGTCTGATTCTTCCATCAATTGTTGAAATCGATCGCGACTGCTGGGTTTGAAGAATTACGGACCCATATGGCGAAGCTCTTCAACAATAATTCACCTCCGCTCCTTACTCCAATCGAATCGACACGCTCAGGTCCTTTGGGTCGAGTTCGACTTTATTCAGAGTTGCCTTCGTTGACGATATTGTAATCAGACCGTACGGACCGATTTTTTCGCTGACGTCCTTAAAAGCCGACGATAAACTTCTGTCGTTTCAGTATCGCATTACACTCCTTTGTTGGACCGATTCTTTTCGCTGAAGTCCTTAAAAGCCGCCGATAATCGTCTCTCGTTTTCAGTCTTACGTTCCTTCTAAGCGGACCGAGATTCTTGCGGATGTCCTTAAAAGCCGCCAATATCTATCATTCCTTACAATTTTCTGATCCTAGTTGGATCGATACTTTTTGTTCAGTTCTACCTTGTCAACAATTTTCTCTGCGACGATCGATAACCAAGGAGCGATAACTAGCTCTCGTTTTCAGTCTCATGTGGCGACATTCTAGGCAGACCGAGACACTTAATTGCCGATCCTTTTACTTCTCTTTTCTGTCATCAAATTTTAATTCAATCCGTTGAGTCTATCGGATCGATACGGTCTTTTGATTACAAATTCTTGATTACACACTCTACAGACGGACCGATACGGCGAGGTCCTTAAATAATATCCGCATCTGCTTCGCTCTTTTAGTGCCTGATAAGCGAGTCTACTCCACCTGAAGCTACGCGAATCAACTATGCAGTCAACACCTTTCGTTCAAGCTTTACCTCCATTCAGAATCATCTTTTCTTGTCGATATCGAAATCTAAATCACACAGAGGCTTCTTTTTTTGTCGAATTCTTGTCATTCGAAAATCCAGAAAACAGTTCATTTTTCTCTACAAGTCAACACAACAGAAAACAGAAACAGGATTGAAGAAAAGAAAAGGAAGATGACATCAGGCAGTTCTAGTAAGTAGTTAAGGTTGTTGAAAGAAAAGATTAACAAGAGAACCAGAAAATCAGAAGAAGAAGATTGAATCAACAGAAACATTGGAAGAAGAAGTTCTTGAAAGGGAAAATGGAAATAATGATATTACATAATTTAGTTCAATGGTAAATTACAGAAAAATAAGAAAATTAAATAGATTTTTTTAGTCAGAGGACTAGAATCAGAGTAGATTTTTTTTAGTCAGATGGCTAAAACAGATGAGAATTATTAGGATAGAAAGAAACAAGAAAATTTACCTGGATACTAGATTATGAGAAATTTTGTTATCAGAAAATACCCATTCAAGAATTCGACTGAAAATTCATCTCAAGGTTAAAATTCAAGATCTGAAGATTTGGGATTCAAGAAAAATCAATTCTCAAGCAAACCTGAAACTCAAGACTGGCCAATTGGACTCATGCTTTTTTTTTTTTTCTCTGTCACACTTCTAATTTTCACATTTCTAATTTTTTTTCCTTACATGATCATTACAAAAACTACATATATTTATTTATTTAGAGAGGTATTGTCTGGGGACAGACAAATAAAGTTGGGGGGGTTGTGGTGAGACCAATCAAGGTCATATATAGTACAAAATAGCTATTTACAGTAGTTTTCATGTTATTACAACCAGATCTGCATATGCTACATAACCCTTTATCTTGTATCCAGTTCAGAAGGTTACAAAATAGTATTTTTTACACATAGTTTGGTTACATAATATATAGTACTACATAGCTACAACATACTACATATCACACATCTCAAGATACAAATTAGTCTTCCCTCAGTACCTTCTTTCTATGATAATAGTATTTCAGTAAACATTAGTTATTTCATCTCAGATACCACTTAGTCAGACTACATATAATATTTCATCCCATACAGCTGATTTCTCATCCAGATATTGTCATCTCATCTCACTCATCATCCACTTCTTTTCATACATCAATTACTTCATTCTACATTTATTTTATTCTACATTTATTTCATACTACAAGTATTTCATTCTTACGTTCCATTTCAAACTCAATACACATGGCTTATATCACCTACATTCTCATCATACATCTCATTTCAACTCATTACTCATTGCTTATATCACCTACATATATATTTCACCACACAGATTTCTCATCTCACCTCAGAATATTTATTTCAGTCTTTGATTATCTCATTTCTTTTTGCACTACATATTAGTTTTATCATAAACAGAAGTTACTTCAGATTTTCTCCTTTTCAACATGTTTATTTCACACTACACATTTGTCAGCCACAATTATTTCATAACCAATTGTCTTTCAGATACAACTTATTTCATACCATCTTCTTACATCAGCTGATATCTTACCACTAGTACCTGATCAGAACCACCCACATGTATATAGAGAATACTCTTTCCCACTTACTTTGTTCCCCATGCTTGCATGAGAGAAGTAAACAGATAATTACTTAGCAGACATCATTTACTAGTAGTTACCAGAAGTAATTATTATTGATTTTCCCCCCAGAAGATAAGAAATTGAACCCAGAAACCATTACCCCCAGAGCCTCATCCTTACCAGAATCTCCCACATCCTCAATCTCTCAGCAGGTGACTTGTACAAGACATCAGTAATAAATCTCATACTAAGATTACCCACAGAAATAGCCACACCTTTTCTTTAATTCTTAGTGTAACTCTCTCCCAAGCCTTGACAAGAGGGCAGCTTCATCAGCATCCAAGTCTTCAACTCACATTTATCCCTGTGTGGTTGTTCTTTTCCCCTCTAAGCTCTTTTCTTTAGCTTGAAAAGTTCCACATCGGCTTGGGCATTGGAGCGACGTGTTGGAGAGTTGCATGGCCGAGCTGGAGTGTTGCATGGCCGAGGCGACTATGTGGTCGTCGTGTGGCAAGTCTCCAACGTCGGTTTCTGTGTACGGACTCCTGTATGGCGAGGTGGATGGAACCATTTGCCTCACGCCAACATTTTGCACAGGCCCGGTGTGACTTTGCGGACGAGGAGGGATAGCGGGGGGTTACTTGCAGTTGTCGTTTGGGGATGGGGATGGCCTCGAGGTGGGTTTGTGTGATGGGGTGCTGAGGTGGTCGATGGAGTCGCTAGCGAGAAGGGTTGCAGGTCTGAGACGGTGGTGTTTGAGAAACGGCCGGTTAAGGGGGTATGCTCGCCAAGGGGATCGTAGTTGCACTGCAATTGATCCCATTCAGGATCTCCTACGACTGGGTGAGACATGCAGGACCTATGCCAAATTCTGAGTTTCAGGCAGGTCGATCAGCATCATATTCAGGTGTGGCCAAGCCGATAGATGGAAACTATGACAATATGAAAATACATAACTGGTTTCGGTTTGAGTGCTGGCGGTGGGAGTAAGAAATTCGGTAGGCTGATCAAGATCCGACTAAGAGTTTTCACGAAGGGGGAGGAGGCAGGCGATTTCGGTTGGAGTTTTCACAAAGGGGAAGCAGTCAGGCGATTTTGGTTGGAATCCTGTCAGTCAAAGAGATTGAAGATTGAACGAGTCAGGCCGAAGACCTCAGTTTGATTGGAGAGAGAATCATTGGGGGGGGGGCGAGGGAATGTTTGAGGTGGAGAAATGAGACAAGGGAGCTCAAGATGTCCGATCGAGTCGGAATTTAAAGTCGTCAGTTGCTGCGGCATGTTTTGGGTGCCTTCCCCGCATCCTGGTGCACATCATAAATGCTCCCCCACCGTCTCACCATGGTGCTTGACCACCTCTCATTGATAAAAATTTATAAAAAGTTATTGGAAGAACTCTCACTTTGATTCATTATCTGAATTTCCAAATCATCTCTTAGCATATACTCATACATTCAAGAGATAAATTATAAAAATTTAAACAAGTAACCACTTTGATTCATTATCTGATTTTTCAAGACTTCTAATAGAATACATTCAAGATAACATTATAAAAATATAAAAAAAAAGAAATTGGTTCTCTTCCCTTTCTCCAAATTCATAGCATATACTCATAAATTTAAAAAAAAAAAAATAAAAAAAATTGGAAGAAATCTCACTTTGATTCATTATCATTTCATCTCATAGAATACATTAAACAAAAATTTATAAAAATATATAAAAAAATCCTCTTTGATTCATCTTTGGTTATCTTCCCTTACTCCAAATTCATAGCGTATACTCATACATCTGAAAAAAAAAATCATTGGAAGAAATCTCACTTTGATTCATTATCAATTCATCTCATAGGATACATTCAACAATAAATTCTGCAAATCTAAAAAAAAAAAACACTTTGATTCATCTTTGGTTATCTTCCCTTTCTCCAAATTCATAGCATATACTCATACATATAAAAATAAAAGTAAAAAGAAATCTCACTTGGATTCATTGTCAAATCATCTCATAGAATACATTCAAGAAAATTTTATAAAAAATTTAAAGACGTAACCACATAGGATACATTCAACAAAAACTTAGAAGAAATTACGAAATTATCACTTTGATTCATCTCTGGTTCTCTTCTGGTTCTCCAAATCTTTCTCATCTCATAGACAAAACACTCACCTGTCAGGATTCATGAATCTTCACGGTCCCACTGACTACCCTGGTGAGTCAAATTTGTCCAGGCACCCATCTGTTATTTGGATGTTGACTTGTGTGGCATCTGTTTATTCATTTAGGCTTTGAGTCGCAAGTCAATCCTGATGGTACATACAAATACAGATGTGTCATTTGCAAATCCAAATGGGCATTGCAGCACAACATCAGGAGACATTTGACGTGCCGTACACATGTGACAAACGTGGCTACTCTGAACTCTTTCCAACAACATGTGGCACAGTCTAGTCAGCAAGCTCATAATCAGCAGGGTTCATTGCCTCACGATTGGAATGATGATCCCATGGACAGGCAGATGGAAATGGACGTTGATTACCAACGTCATCAAATGCATCAAGCATTGGCTGAGGAGCAAAATACAAATACAAATAGGATTGTGAATGTTGATTCAAATGATCCAGAGGGGTTTGGTTTTGGACATGAAGCAACCAATTTCTCAGAAGGAGACCTGGAGCATTTGGGCCGCTGGATCAGTGATGCTTTTGCTGCTGGAATGCATGATGAGCATTTTCTCATGGATCCTGATTATGAATCAGATGGGGATTCAGAAGCGGGTCTGCCGGAGTCACTATGGTTTCCTTTCCCACACAAGGAGGTATGTAATCTCACACAGTGTCAGCTGCTTGGAATAATTAGGTGACAATTTCTCGCATGCAGTATTATGTAGCAGAACTCATTCTTGGCCACCTCCACCATATGTTATCTCGGGTGGTGTATGATAATATTAGAGTTGGGGTGAGCATTCTCAATTTAATTCTTCCGCATTGGGATAGTATGAGAAGAACTCGGCAGAAAATCAGGAAGCTCCTGGACATACACATCATGGAGCATGAGACAGTCTTCAATATTACTTGCTTTTCGTTGAGTTTGAAAGACATTTTGGCACATGTGAGTATTCTTTTGGGTACATTTGGTAAAAAAGCTCATGAGTTTTCTCCTTTTGTGATCATTTGTCACAGGAACTTGCAAACCCGTATGTTGTTGAACATCTGGAATTCTACCCACATGAGACAAATGGAAAAAACATCCGTGCCCTGTATCACAGTGCCAAATGGCGTGAACATCTTGGGAGAGAATACCGTGTCCAAATGGTCCCTGCGGGAGGAAAACATTACTATATCTATGAGCCAGTCACTCTTCGAAATGGGCGCATAGTTGTACCCATTTTCTTCTACAAGCACGAGACAGTATTGCGTTCCAAATGTGTCATTCCAAAATTTGCCAAAGCAACGAATCACAACAACTCAGGATCAAGCCAACAGAGCCAAGGCTCGATTGAATTTGATTTCTACATACGCTCGAATATCCAGTACGATTCACCAGATGTTTTGGATATTGAAGTGGGACAATTTGACAAAATTTACTCCGAGATTGTTTGTCCCAGACGGTTACTTGATGATGGCCCAAGTGTGGTTGGCAAATAAAGGGTAAGTATCAATCCTCTTGTATGATGTGTGAATTCTCTTCTATGATGTGTAACAGTACATGATGCTTATACCCCACTTCTTTTCAGAAATTGGGGCATCTAGATCATCTGATCCTATTGTTGTTCCCAATCCATGGAGAATCAGGGCCAAGAACAAGATCATCAGACATGTACCTCTCACTCTGTATGCGGACGACACTTCTGGGAACAAATCCAAAAGGTGGAATAAACACATTTCATTCTATCTTACATTAAGCGGACTGCCTCCTGAAATGACAAACATGGAATATAATTGTCACTTTGTGACCACCTCAAATGTTGCCTCTCCACTTGAATTGGCTGAACCAGTGGTTTCACAACTCAAGTCAGTCTTCCTTATAAACTCAATAACTTGAAATGAAAATATCATTCCATGACTGACTTGAAGTTGATTTCCGTTCATCAGTCAGTTGAGCACCAAAGGAGCATTTGGATTTGATGCCACATTGAAAGAAGAAGTCATGTTCATGTGCATACCTCTTGATTTTCTGGCCGATTCTCCAATGGCAGCCGAATTTACAAATACCCCTAATCCTGGCAAGGCAAATAACCCATGTCGTATGTGTCACCTACAGACCAATACGGTTGAAAATCGATGCACTTTGGAATTTATCAAAGCATTCTTTGGACAGCCCCAGATGCCTGCCTCCAGGAAGTGGCACCAAACAATCAGTCGCTGTAAGACTCAAAAAGTGGTTGTAAGACCCTTTTTGCTGAATGGAGAAGGGGATGGTGGAGGTGCAAGCTCTGCCCTTCTATACTATCAGATAACAAGACCCACCAAGCTCAGCTTGGCAAGTTTTAATCAAGTGATAGGGTAAGTTCAGGAATGAGTTTGTGTGATGCTGAGAAATGAGTTTAGTTGTTATTGGTGTTTGGTAAGGTTTTGTAAAGGTGGTGTATCTTTGATTGAGTGGTACTAAACTGTGACTGATGAATAATACACTGAGGAGACAACAACTGGGAGGAGAGCCTCCTTATATAGAAAATAGTGAGGGAATTTAGCTCCAGGGCAGCCAGTAATGAGTGATTTTGGCTGGCCTGGGCTATTACATGAGGTATTTTAGCTACATACATAAGTTGAATGAGTGAATGTGATTGGTCAGACATGTACAAGAGTTGAAGTGGTGAGCCAAACAGCTGAAAGAGTGATTCTGATTGGTCAGGTTCTGATGTGTTTACAAGTGAGTGTGGTGATGTAAGCTGCAGCTGTCATGCATGGAAAATACACTAATTTAGGCTGCAGGTATGATGTAATATGTAGTAGTGAAATGTAAAGAGTGTAGATGTATTTAAATGAGTGTATATGTAAATGAGTGTGTACTGTACTGAGGGTGTCTGTATAGCTTGAGGGTTGTAATTGGGTTTGGTGATATGTAATGATGGGTGAAATCCTTGTGATATGTTGTCCAGTGTTGGGTAAGAGTTGATCCAGGTGTGTTCCAGTGACGCCTCCGTGGTGACCAAGGGTGAATTTGTCCGTAGAGTCCATTTCTTGAGCCGTATGGTGTGAATTCTGAGAGTGATTGGGTGATAATATAAAGAAATATATATATAAAAAAAAGAAAAGGAAAAAAACTTTGAATTTTCACATTTTTGACTACCACATCGCTCACATGAGCTATGGGACATTTCACAAAGAGACACCCAAAAAGAATATAAAACAAAATCCATGAGATATGGACTGAAGGATCAAATAACTCATAGATTACTAGATTTGCAGGCTCAGAAAGTGCATGAACGAGTGCGGATCAATCAGCTTGAACAGAATGCACGCCCCAGACTTGTGAGCCTGGGTCTCAAAAGTGACAGCAGGACACAAGGATTGGGGGGGCAATTCTAGATGTATTTCAAGGAGATAAAGAAATACAACTAGAATAAGAGAAAGGGAGAGAGAAAGAAAGAGAAAAGAAATGAATAATATCTTTTATTTTCTATTTGTTTGATAATCAAGTTTTACTACAGTCTTACTTTCCTTTAAGGATGGCTGTTATTAAGCGGAATTAATCTATGCCTCCTATCAACTGAAACTGAATAGGGAACTTGGTATTGAATATATGTCAATCCAACCTCAATTTTTTAGATCTATGATCAAGGTTCTTTAAAGGGAAACCTATGTGGTTTTCAGTTATACCACCAAACAGAGAATAAGGGGAGTGATAATCACACTCCACCCCCCTTCGCACACACACTCCAACACTCCCTTCTCTGAAGGGAGTGTTGGGAGTGCTCGCCCGTAGGGGTGTGGAGGTGGGATTCTCACTCCCC